GATATACTATCAGACAGACATGCAGAGCACCTCAGAGAATATGTTTCTAGAGCTCTTCTGTCAGATCATCTCTGAGCCTTGCTTCAACACCCTGCGCACCAAGGAGCAGCTGGGTGAGAGGGAGGTGGGGACTGGCCTAGTACCATAGACCTTGAGCAACCGTTGTCCTCAGAAAATATGCTCCACGTGGATAGTTCTCTTGCATGGTGGTGCAGGCTTGCTGTATTGACAAAGGCTTGTGAAAACCTTGTTTGTGGGGAATCCACTTCTAAAAGATAAGCACTTAACATGTCATGGACATTAAAGCAGTTCTTAAGGCGAAGACAGTATGTTTACAGAATGTACATGTCATAAAGAAGACATTTTGGGTAAGGGAAGATGCTTAGGGCAGACTATTTATTAGGGGTGGCAAGATGGGAAGCAAGCCATCCAGAGAAGCTTAGATTTGGGAAACTTTGGGTTCCCAGAGGGCAGGTATTATCTCTTAATCATCTTTGTATCCCAAGCCTGGTCCCATAGAAGGTACTCAGTAAGTGTTTGTTGAGAAAGTGTTTCTGGCACAGTTTTAGGCACTGTTAAAAGTCCTCGAGATCCTGGCAGGTTTAATCAATGAGAAAATAAAGAAACCCCAGCAATGACTGGGAGGAACCAATGAAAAAGGATTTGGGTGAGTCTTTCCAAGTATTTTCATTTTTTAAGTAACCACCATGGTAGATGCTGGACATGGAAATGGATAAGTTAGAGATGGTCCTTCCCTTCAAGGAGCTCACGGTCTAATCAGGAGGGCAGACCTATAAAGGAATAGTTACAGTACAGTGTGACAAATATTACTGAGAGTCTTCAGATTCTAAAGGTCATGCCGAAGATAGTGACTTCCTCAGAAGTGGGGTGGGACCCCAAGGCTCCACAGGTCTGAGGATGTGGTTCAGGACAGAGCAGCTGAAGGAGACAAGCCACGAGCTCAGTTTAGGAAAGATGTCAAAGGGTGGTAATGCGTGAGCTCACAAGATGACAATGGAAACGTGACCTTCTGTTGGTCTTCAGAGGTTTTTAGTCTGAATGCAGTTGGTCCAGGAATGAATTCACATAAGGAACTTGGATATGAAAGGGAACAGAGCTGGAACAATGGTTAGAGGATGAAAATGAGTTCATTTTATACTAGGGATGGGAATAACTTTCACACAGAGAGAAAATGATTAACCAGCAGACAGTGAGGAGTTATGGGATGGGAGATTGAGTGATGAATAAGATTTTTTCCTTCCCACCTCCACCCCCAAGAGAAAGAATTCTCTCCCAACTTTCTAACTATTCTTCAGAGAGCCCTTTTGCTCTACCCTTAGGAACTCATGATATCCTAATTGTTTATGTTTCTTCAGAGGTGAATAACATAGAGCCCAAAAGTAGATTTTATTGCTCTGACAGGATAAGTTTTGAAGGATTAAAAGTGACCGGAGTCTCAAACGCCAGGGTCCTGACTGGCCGGTGTTTGTGTTTCAGGCTATATCGTCTTCAGCGGGCCTCGTCGAGCCAACGGCATACAGGGCTTACGATTCATCATCCAGTCAGAAAAGCCTCCTCACTACCTAGAAAGCCGAGTGGAAGCTTTCTTAATCACCATGGAGAAGTCCATAGAGGACATGACAGAAGAGGCTTTTCAAAAACACATTCAAGCATTAGCAATTCGTCGACTAGACAAACCAAAGAAACTGTCCGCAGAGTGTGCTAAATATTGGGGGGAAATCATCTCCCAGCAATACAATTTCGACAGAGGTAAGGCACAATTAGGGCCCCAACGTTTATGGCATATAAGTGTAACATTTGAGGTCACCAAGGCTATTCTACAAAACGGTGGTTGTTTTGTAGGTGATATTCCGGTTACTAATTTGGTGGTGTGGAGTGTCATACTTCTAAAGAACCATCGCTTTAACATAAGAGCAGTTTTTATTAGAAACTTTATCTTTTTTTCTTCTCCAAAATTGGAGCTGGATCTTCCTGTATCTCATAATAATACAGTAAGAATAAATCTAATTTCACTTTTTGTGTTTAGTCAGTATGCCCCTGAGGCTCTGAGCACAGGCTTGCGGTTATCTATTTCCCATAACACCGAAAAAAGAAAAAGGAAAATTTGCAGACATAAGTGCTGCCCTGGAGGCACAGGGCTTCAAACAGATGCCTGTAGGGATTACCAAAAATGTGTCGGGGCTTTTACACTGGGGACAGCTGTGCTTCCTGAAGTCTCCTGCTTACTGACTTCCTTGGCGTTTCTTCTAGAGCAGAAATCAACAATGCAGAGCGCTAAGCCACACCAGAAGTTGGGGGTTCGGGGGGGGGTTGAGTTGTGTTCTCATTGTGACACCAACAGCCTGAAGATCTTTGGCCAAGACACCTTTTTGAGGGCCTCGGTTTTCTTACCTGTAATTTTTTTAGCAGTTGGAGTCACTGTTAATGGTAATTGTACTGACCATCTATTGAACATTTGCCGTAAGTGCAGCATCGTGTTACTGTCATTCATCATTTTCCTTAGTTCTCACTACAGACCCATTAAGTAGTTATTATCCCCAATTTCCGGAGGAGGAAAGAGGCTCAGAAAAATTGACACAACTAGCCTAAAGATCCAGTAGTTCAGAAGTAGAGAGCCAGGCTATCTTCTTACTCCTTACTTGATATTTATTCCCTGACTACTTGCAAGAACAGATGATCACTTAAAAATACAGAGACCTAAGAACATTGGAGTGAAATGTATTGTCATTTAATGTAGTATTCTGGGCTACTTAAGATGGAAATATTAGTAAATTATTGTTTGATTGCTTTTTCAGATAACACAGAAGTTGCATATTTAAAGACACTTACCAAGGAAGATATCATCAAATTCTACAAGGTAAGTTGAATTTGTATGTTTAGATTTTGACTCATAAGCAAATATTATATATGCTGTGTGGTTTGTTACTGCTTTGAACTTAGTGCCCTGCTTAGAGCTGCAGCCTTAGGTCACCTTCTCCAAAGGTTCTTTTACATGTGAGGCAGCAGTGGGAGCATGTGTGGCTTCTGAATGCAGACCCAGGGCTCATCACTGGCGAGATAGCCCTGTGACCTCAGCCAGGGGGCTTAAGCTTCTAAGTCTCAGTTTCCTCACTTACAAAATAGAGATTAGTAGGAGTATTAATTGAAATGAGGTGCATAAAGTGATTGGCACTTAGCAGAATTTAATAAATGATCTCCATTACTGTGGTCTCTTCATTAGTAATTCTCAGCCTCAGTTTTTACATGTTTTAATCAGAATACTTTAATGTTTTCCTCATTGATATTATAAGTTTTAGTTGTGTTTATTTATTGCTTAAGACTATTTGCTTTGTGAGGTTAGGTATCTGTTCTCAGTTGCTTGCAAGAAAGGGTGATCATATTAGCTCTTTTTGGTTTCTGAGGGATTCATTTTAAGGCATTCTTAGTTGTGGGTGTTTAAAAAGAGTGATGTCCTGATATAACTTCTCTAGGGTTTCCAGAAGCAGTGAAGATTTTTTCTTTCCCTCCACAACGTCTATTATTCATTGGAATTACAAGTAGTACCTGATTATTGAATTTGTAAGAATAGTTATAAGACTGAGTCGATTTTGTCTTAAAAATGAGAGTTTTGTTACCAAGCTTAAACTAAGTCTAGAACATCATTTCCCTTGCTGTATTCCATGGTACACTAGTTTTCTACAAGATATTAGTAGGGACACATACAAAAAAGGGTTTCATGACCATGTAAGTGTGGGAAAGACTACACTCTTTATTCCTGTTTTTGGAGAATTACAGAGCATGTTAACATTTAAAAGTTCTAAGAAGCCCCATACTAAAGATTTCTTTAGCCCAGCATTTAATTTTGATTAACAAAACTCCCTAAAGAGATTCATCATGGACCTGTTTGTTTTTCCCCCACAGAATACCTATTAAGTGTTTCCTGGGACTCCAGTGTTCCTTAGAATATAGCTTGCAAGAAAAATGCAGTTTGCTTATTGGCTGGTTTGTGTTTAGAAAGATGGAGATTGTCCAGAATTGTTCAGGAAATTGAGAATAGTCTGAAACTGAAGAAGGTGTTACACTCTTCTACTGATAAAGGTTGATAAGAGGGCAATGAAGGCTTGGGTGAAAAGGGATCCTGAATAGACCTTTGGAAGCAAACTTTTTACTCAATAAGACAGACAATCTCAGATGAGCTGCTATATATTACTGGAGGCGGACCTGTGCTGAGCTCCTGAAAGGGGCTGGAGAGGCCAGGGCAGGCCTATGGGAGAATCTGGGCTGTCCTGCCAGCTGGAGGGAGCCATGGTCAGGTTTGTTGTCCAACCTCATCAGGATTTCCATCGCGGCTGCACAGGACCAGGCTTGTAATAACTGCTCCATAAACCATTATTGACCTGATTTGGCTTTGCTAATGATCTCTCCCTCTGAGGGTATGACCAGGGGAAGTTTCATCACACCTTGTGTTTTCCCTTTGGAAAAGACAGATAATGGTCTAGCATTAAGGAAAAGGTCGAGAGACACATTTCCATGGGATCTGCCAACTCACCACTCCTGATATTCATGGTATGACCTAGGGAACTCCTTCAGAGCAGCCTGCTGGAGCAGAGAGAGAAAAAGCAGGCCTTGCTTTCTGATGCCATCACTGTGAACTACGTGACTTGAGCAAGTCGTCATACTTCCCTGTGTCTCAGAGTTCCGTATCTCTAAAACAGGATCCTCACAACACTTAGCTTATAGAGGGTCAAGTGAGCTAATACAGGAGAGTGCCTGACGCAAGACAGGACTCAATAAATGTTAGCTTCCTTTCTCTTCTGTTAGATGAAGATCCATAGAAGTGCCCTGGTGCAGAATCTAAGAAGGTGTGGGACACCTCGGTGGCTCAGTCTGTTAGGCGTCCGACTGCGGCTCAGTTCATGATCTCACTGCTCATGAGTTTGAGCCCCTCGTTGGGCTCTGTATTCACAGCTCAGAGCCTGGAGCCTGCTTCAGATTCTGACTCCCATCTCTCTGGCCCTCTTCTACTTGCACGTACGCTCTGTCTCTCAAATATAAAAAAAAAAATAAAAATTTTTTTAATAAAAAAAAAGAATCTAAGAAGGTTCTAGAGGAGCAGGCATTGTGCTCGTCCCTTGACTGAGCTCAGGCCTTCGCCTCTGTAGTCATTAGCGATCACTGGATGTGGCCCTGCATCACACCTCGATGAGTATTAGGCTAGGTTTTTAATCCCAGCCCAGCTACCTCTTAACTGTAGGAGTTTGAATGCATCACATAATATCCTTGGACTCCATTTTATCATTTGTAAAATGGGGCTAGTAGTAATTCTTGCCTACCTAACCTAATTTTTGTAGAGTTTAAATGAAATACTCTAAGTGAGGGGAAACATCTTTTCTGTTTCTGGCTATGTGAGAGCTGATTCTTCCTAGTGGTAAAAGAGTACTTCATTTGAGGTTCCTTAGTGGGGCAGAAGGGTGACCTTGCTGTTCTTTCTTCCTAGGAAATGTTGGCAGTAGATGCCCCAAGGAGACATAAAGTATCCGTCCATGTTCTTGCCAGGGAAATGGATTCCTGTAAGTATTGAATATGGACTTTTTGTAAAGTGTGTTTTTGGGCACACGATGGCTGTCCCTTGCCATAGACACATCCCTTAAAGAGCACCAGAAAGTAAATAGGTAGAGAAGGGGACCAACTGGAGACAGGGTCTACTCTATCTATCAAAGCAAAAATATGGGGAAAAGGGAAATGAGGCAGTGAAGGAAACAGCCAGCGTTAGGTGGCACAATGCCATCCTGGCCCTGGCTTTACAAGAAAACACAGCTAGTTGCTGGTAGGATGTCTTCAGAGAAGCTGTGTGGAACCACTGCATGTGAGGAGGAAGAGCAAATAGTTCATTCGCTCAGTCTTTCCATCTTCTATCTCTGAATGGCCAAGATTTACTCCACAGTCATATCTCACCTGGCCTTCTGGGTTGTTTTACTGGATCCTTCCTGGTGGTCAGAGCCTCAGAGACCAGTGAGTGCAGACATGGGCACTAAAGTTGCTGTGGGCGAGGCTTCATAGCCACGGTAACGTGATGAGCCATCGTTGGGGAGAGTCTGGATAAGACGTAGAGCCAGCAGTCAAGGTCTTGGGGAGCAGGCAGCCTGGGAGGACATGGGCCTGGTACAGTTTCTTAATGAGCTGAGTCCGGTTTCAGTTTGTTGTTGTTGTTGTTGTTGTTGTTGTTGTTGTTGTTGTTTTCAATTGCTCTTGTATGCCAGTATTTATTAGGTAAGAAATAAACCTTTCATTTTCTCACAGGTCCTGTCGTTGGAGAGTTCCCATGTCAAAATGATATAAATTTGTCACAAGCACCAGCCTTGCCACAAGTAAGACATGCAAATGTCATTTTAGATTGCATGGTTAGAGGACTTCCCACATAGAAGGAGCTTGTTCAGCAGGACACGTAAGACTAGAAGTATCAGGTCACCACGTGTTTGAGCCTCTACTTTATATTCCTCCCTAAATGTGAGGTCGCCATCTGACAGCTCCCAGGGGAGGAGAGTGGGGGGCGCCTTTGTCATCTACGGAAAGACTCAGCCTCTGACCTGTTTTGCTTTTGCTTCTAGTTTGAGCAGTTATGTTACTCTGCAGCGAGTCCTCTCCAGCCACGCCTGTACCTTGCCCTTTCCCCAGTGCCTGCATGTCTTTAATCCTCTGGAGAGGTTGGCATTTACTGGCAGTGTGACCAGGCCCTTGCTGAGTGGGCACGTCAGCCTCTGCCGTTCTGCTGAGGTCTTGGTGTGTGCCAGCTCTGGCGTCCCAGCCCTTGTGTGCCCAGAGAAGAGCCAGGGATCTTCTTTCTGGTCCTGGGTCCCACTGGGGACATTCCCCATAGGTTTGCATAGACCCTCTGGCCCTGATGATCCAGGAAGATCAGATCATAATATGTGGGGTAGAAACGAGTGTGTATGTAAAAAAAAAAAAAAAAAAGTTGATGTCTTATTCCGTCTGCTTTTTTAGGCCATAAACACTGAGAGAAACCTTTTTCTTCTTTGCAGCCTGAAGTGATTCAGAACATGACCGAATTCAAGCGTGGTTTGCCACTGTTTCCCCTTGTGAAACCACATATTAACTTCATGGCTGCAAAACTCTGAAGATTCCCCAAGGGTGGGAGAGTGCAAGTGGATGCATCCCTGGGTCTTCCTGGGGCCAGGGAAACAATCTTGGCCACTTTCATAGTTTCTGGTTCACTATCAGACAGACAAACAGAAAAAAAAGATGTTGTCAAATGTCATTATGTAGAATATTAAAAATCCAAAGTAATTAAATGACAGAATCTTATAGATGTAGAATATTTTTTAAATACATGCCTCTTAAATATTTTAAAATTTTTCTTTTCATTACTGAGAGAAATTTCCCTTATATAACAGTACTTAAAATGATGAATGATATTCCTATAGAATCTTCCTTCCATATTCTGTAAAATAGTCACTTGTCAGAAGAAAATATGTTAGTTTTTGGTTGTGTTTTTCTAAAAGCCTCCTAGGTTGACAGAAAAGGCTTTAAAACCTTTAGAAAGGTAATACCTTTTTAAAAACTGATTCTCAAATTTGCTTTCTACTTGGTGGTTTCATGTAAATCAATGGAGAACATTAACATTTGGCAGATAATGAAAAAAGCAAAATGATTTTCTTTTATTAGTGAAATTGCTGATTATATAAGGCATGGTTTTAATCTTTTTATAAAATTTGAACATGTTTTTTATTCAAACTAGTAAAATGCTGGAAAACCCTAGAACGCCCTACTTATTTACAATGCTAGAAATAGACTTACCCTACATCAGTTTTGTCCCAAACGGAATTTCTCAGGATTACTGTGATTTGTTTCTTTCTGATTGAATTATATTGACATTCTTGTTCATAGTCGGTTTGCAGTGTTCCCTCAGTTTTACCTTTTCCCCTCAACAACATTTGTTGTATTTATTTAATACATAGGGTCAACTTCAGATCCCACTGAGTGTGTGACATGCTTTTCCAACATCAGCTACTCTAAACACTTGTAACTTTTTACTACCATGATATTGCAATCAGTATATGAACCAAAATATTTGCCCTATTATGAATTTAAAAGACAAGTACCAAGCCACCTTTTTGAAGGTATTAAAAATAAAGCCTTGATTCTTAAATAGTGTGATCTCCAGAAGACTCTCAAATCCCTTTTTGCTACCAGTCTAATATTGCCTTAAGTGTTAAGTTATTTTTTGAATATATAAATATAAACATAACAAACACAGATAACGACTGGAGTGGACTTTTAAAAAATATTTTTTTCATGAGATACTATTTTAGATGAAATTGTTACTGTAGATTTAACAGCTGTTTTGAAATATTTACTGTTGTTAAAAGTTGCTTCAAGAGAAATTGTGAATATACTTCCACATACAGGCACTGGTACCCGTAAGTGGCCCTGTTCACTAACTCAGGCAAAGTAAAGAATGGCATTTTCAAATGACATTTTACCTCGCTAGGAGTTGATTTGCCAGGACTTTTTTCTGTAGAGTCATGTCTTACAACATCTTAAGTTTTCACTTTTGCCATTTTCCAAATAATCTACATTTGGGGCAAGAATGATATAATCACAACTGTGGAGGCTGCTTTCAAAAGCAGGGCTCCATTTCTACTGTCAGATAAATGTGGTGCTGTAACTGTCTTTTTATCCCTACCTTCAGGAGCTTCCTTGTGATGAAGCCTGTCTTTGTCCATCAGAAGGTGTGTGAGTCATCGCTTCCTTCTGGTTTTATGCATTTGTAGACTATGCAGCTTTTCACCAAACTGCAAAAATAAACAAGAGGGATCTACAATTAGCCCTGAGTGTTTAAATCCACCACTGTAAGAGTAAATAAGCCACCTACCTTCTCTGTGGGAAATTATGTGCTATTGAGTAATTTTTAGCTCTTTTTTAAAAAATGGGTGAAATGTAACTGTCATTTTTATGAGAAAGTCACATGAAGAAATCTGAACAGAATCTCATGTAGTCTTCCAGGAACCTATGATTGGGGTTCAGTGTGTTCCAGCATTGTCTGGTGTCCAAATTGGATCTAGAGCTACTGTTGGATCACTCAGGCATACTAATGGATTCACTGAAATGGGTCCAGGCTGCAATCCATGAGCAGTAACAGACTACCCCGGATACTGCGTTTTCTCAGTGCCTAGCAAATGAGATTTGTGGAAAACAAACTAAGTTATTAGTTACTTGTGACTTAAAAAAAAAAAAAAAGTCTTCTTTTCAACTAGTTGATGTGGAAGAGAGAGCATGTGACACAGCCAGTATGGTGGAGTGCTAGGGTAATCCTGTTTACAATAAATTGCCTGAATTGAACCTCTGGAGTTTGCATTTGTGTTATTTTTACAATTTTAGTGTCTAGCCTACCTCTCAGCATCCTGATTTGACATTTTTTGCTTTCGGTATTCCTAAGGCAGAAAGCAATGAATTAGTTTTTTGAAAAAAAATCTTTTGAGTGCATCTGGGTGACAGTGATTTAGTCAAATAAATGGGTCAATTTCACACTCATAAGGGTGGATCGCTTTTGTCAAAGGAATCCTGGTGTGAGAGGCTGAGTTCATTGCTGTGCATATTGTCACTGACCCCAAATCCAGAAAGATTTGTCCTTTGCTTTACAGGGAAAAGAGTAAAAAGGGTAGAAAAGCAAAATATTTCCTCTACAGCTAGTGTTTCGTCTTCTTGTCACATCTCCAGCAGCAGGCTAGCCAGTTATCTTGTCCAACCCCTGGCCCCGACACCCTGTTAAGATAATCTTTCTACTAATGTGGTTGCCAGCTGGCCCAGATGAGCATTTCAAGAGGAAATGTGCTCTTTCCTCAGTTTATAGCCTAGGACCTTGGTGCAGCCCACACAGGCAGCATTGTGCTTGGGGATGACGCAGCGGCCCTAATGAGAGGCCCAAAGCAGCACCCGCTTTTATGGCATGGGGCAGTTTTCCCCTCGCTCACAGTGCATAGGGGAGTC